CCGTGTCGTATCCGACACTCATACCCGAGTCCGGGTAACATAGGAGCTACCCAATTATCCAAACGGCTTACCCAATGTAGTGTGACATTAGGTAATTGATGTAAAAACGAATTAATATCCTGGATGATTGGTCTGCAGAATTACCCTCTATATCTCCTCTCGCCACTAGAATTGTATTGATCGAATCTCCCACCACTTGAAAATTCGCTAAATTCAGGATGTGATGCTCGCAAAGCTTCCCGCAAGGCCATAAGTTCAGCTAATTCTAGACCAGTCACATGCTTCACATGTGTTGGCAAATGCTTGTAGAAAAGTACCATCAGGAAAAGTAATATAAACTCCCAGCCCAACTACTCCATTGGAGTGATTAATGCCGGCATCAATGAGACTGTGGCAATGTCCTTTTTTGGCCTGAATACTGAGTCCATGTCGAATTGTGACATCTCCACGTTTTCAGTTTTTTATGCTTTCCAGGACTGCAACGTTGATGTGGCTGAGAGTACAATAGCCCATGACGAGCATTCCTTCTTTTGGAAGATCTTTTCATTTCGGGACTTCCAAAGAGTGTTGCAGATAACTCCAAAGAGTTGCTTCCTGATCCAAAGCCATGAAAAGCTCCCTGAACCAAGGCTGAAAGTCAGTCTGCTGGAAGTGAAGAATCATCCCCTTCATGCCTGCTTGGGTCCACACTTGTTGCGTGAAAGGACAAAGGAAGAACATATGGATTGTGTTGCAGTTGTTTATGCCACAGAAACAACACATCTGACTGGTTTGAAGGTGTCTTCGAGCCAGGTTTTCTGTTGTGGGGAGGGAATTGTTCATGCGCCGCCATAAAAATTGAAGTATTCGTGGAGGGAGGGAAAACTTCCTCAGATTTTTCCAAATTTGGCTCTCATATGAAGAGTTTCCAGGGCTCGGATTTAGCGAATTCAGTGAAAGGTGATAAGCCGTCTAAGCGAATGCTTACCAGAACGGTTAGGGGACCAAATATAAACATCTTCCCTGGATAAATCACCCAATTTTATGGACAGGATCATATTTGCTTATGTGGGAGAGAAGATCTGATGTATGAGTTCATGCTTCCACCAACCGGTATCTTCATCGATCAGGGAGCTGACAAAACTGTCCGTCAGGCAGTATTGAAGGTTGTTGAATAATCAAGATACTTCACAGGAGCAAATCCAAGATGTTAATCAAGCATCCAAAGTTTTGGATTTTCGGATAGATAAATCAATTGCAATCTAGTTTTGCATAACTTTTATATAGACTGTTTTGTACAGTTTTATTAGTCTAGGGACTTTTTCTGTTAATACTAGTTATGGAAAGTTTGACTTGTCAAACTTAGGTTGTATATATATCAAAATTTGTACAGAACACATACGGGTTCGATTCGATGAAATACAGTTTTTTCCCCAAATCAAAAACCCTATTTCCCTTTTCTAAGAAAGGTGGAGAGGTGATCCAGTAAGGCACCTCAGGCAGCCATTTATCCATCTATATTCTAGTGGAACTTCCATTAATTATTCTTTTCATGGTGCCGATTTCAATGAGTGACTTGCCATACAGTATACTCCTCCATAACCATGACGATTGCTGATTTGAAGTAGATTGCAGGAAAGAGCGCATTCAGGAAAGTATTTGGCTTTAAGTACAGTCGGCAAAAGGGAGGATGGATTAGTGAGTAATCTCCATGCTTGCTTACTGAGCATAGCTTGATTGTAACATTGAAGATCCCAAAACCCTAGCCCTCCTACATCTTTGCTTCTGGTCATCGACTTACAAGAGTTCCACCTTATCTTTCTTGAATCGCTTTTATCCCCTCCCACCACCACCCCCCCCCCACACCAAAATGAGCTTATCATTTGTTGAATGTCATTCTGGGTACGATCAGGATTTTGAAGCAGCTCATGGTATATGTCGGGATTGCTTGCACCACAGATTTCTGAAGTATCTCCTTTCCTCCCTGGGATAGATTGGTCTCCTTCCATCCCAAAAGTTTCTTCCATATCCTGTCCTTCAAACCAGCAAAAACAATGTTCTTGTTACGTTCGATGGTAGAAGGGAGGCCAAGGTACTTACCATGATCCTCAACACATGGAACGCCAAGTATGGAAGAAATTGATGCTCTTAAACCCGACCTTGTGTTCGGGGAGAACATTATGCCTGATTTATCAAGATTGATCGCCTGTCCAGAAACCTTTTCATACAAGGTAATAGCAAACCTAATGTATGAAGCTTCATCTTCAGTAGCGTGGCCAAAGAGTAGAGTATCGTCTGCAAAAAATAGATGTGAAATTGATGGTGCAGCTCTTGCCACTGAGATTCCATGTATTTTGCCACATGCCTGTAGATCTTGGAGGATACATGAGAAAACTTCGGAGCACAAGATGAATAAATAAGGAGATAATGGATCTCCTTGACGGACACTTCTTTGCGGGGTCAAAGAGCCAAATTGTTTTCCATTAAACAAAAATGAAAAACGGACAGTGGAAATGCAAATACGAACCCAATCAACTAGACTATCACAAAAACCTAGTGCTTTCATGACATTGCAAACAAAAGACCACTTAACTCTATCAAATATCTTACTCATATCTAACTTTATTGACATAAGCCCTGTTCCACCGGAAGATCTCAATTTCAAATGATGATGAGTTTCATAAGCAAGTAGCACATTATCATTAATCAATCGACTAGGAATGAGAGCGGATTGAGAAGGTGAAATGACGCTAGGCAGGATGGTCTTAATCTGATTAGCTAAAACTTTTGAAGCGAGTTTGTAAACCACATTAAAGAGGCTAATCGGGCGAAATTGAGTGATTACATCAGACTTTTTGATTTTGGGAATAAGGACTATGTATGTGTGATTTATTGCATTATCGAAAACTTTATTATTTAGAAAATTTAAAATAAAAGAAACTACATCAGATCGAACTGCTTCCCTACTTCCCTTGGAAATAAATAATAATAATAATACATAAAACCCCACTTCAACATTATCATAACCGAAAAGTGATCGAGATTGTTATATATCATAGTAGTTTTGGATGATATTAATTTAGTGTATAATGACGTAGTCACTATTAATTCAAATTACTATTCTGCATAATCAGGAATTGAGGGTTTGACACGATAACAAATACTTCTCAGAATAAAAAGTTATCAGCATTTCTAAATAACAATTAAACTAAATAATGTTACATCTTTCTCAAATCCAAGCTAGTTTTTAATAGTTTAGAATTGCTTGATTTCATCAGATGCCATTTCAGGCTGCTGGAAACGATTTTTTGTCCGTACAATGGTGACTGAGCCATTTCTTAGAGAGTTATGTATGAATTAACGAGAAATTCTCATGGACTCCAAAGTCTCTCATGGTGAAATATGGCTAATTTGTAGGGATAAAACAAAATATACCCTCCAATCAAGAACAAAAGTTCATTTGTTAAATTACAAAAACTTATTTCAGTGTTCTTCGTATCACATTTACATATATAGGCTTATTTCAGTGTATACACAGTTTAGAAAAAATTAACTTAAGTAATTGTGCTTCACGTTTTCTAACCATCTCTCCAATAATGACTTACATATACATATATATGTAAAATGAAAACAAACTGAAAAAAAAAAAAGAAAAAATTGGTGATATTGCCGGACTAATTAGTAGCTTCCAGAGCAGCAAAAAAAAAAAAAGTTTCTAAATTTCTCCTATTAGGTCCAAGGTTATTTGAATATCTTTTCCGGCACCACCCTTCCACCTCCTTACTCAATATGTTGTCTCCATTCGTTTATGGCTCTGGGCAATCCCAATATTTCAAGGTGTACTTTGATTTTTAAGGTACATAGTTAGAGGCATCACTTATATTTGCAACAATACAACAATTATATGGATTTTTGCCCCCAATTTTTAAAATTGTGCCATAGTTTGTAGTATTTTCCAACTGTCAAGAAGTACTCTTTTCTTAGAGATTATTACAAAAGAGATCATCTTTCATCTTTCATGTAATTTAACCAATTTTTTCCGCCATCTTCATAGACTAAGATGAAAAGACTAACAATATTTATCAAATCCATGCTCGACAAATGGAATTAGGTATTCAGTTTCGAGTTGTCGATCGTGTCATGAATAAAAAGAAATTGACTAAAGCAAATAGTCAGGGAGGCGAAATGGAGAGATGAGAGGGGTGTAAAATTAACATTTGACTGGTTAGGACAATTTCGGAAAAGTATCATTGTTCTGCTCTGGAAGCTAATTATTGCTCTGAAAATATCGCCATCCATTACAAAATTTAAGGGATGAAGTTATATCGAGAGTATTTTGATAATATGCAATGGGTATTTCTTACTGTAAGTGCCACATTGCAGGGGAAAACTCTCTACTAGTTCCTTACATGGACCAAAAAAAGAACTGATGGATCTTACCTGCTCATATTGAAGGCTCTCTAGCTTTTACCTCAAAATGAACACGAAAGAGTTCATTTCACTACCACCTGACTTTGTAGGTTTATTTACTCCGCAGTTGATAAAGTACTTTGAATCTTAAAACTACGGAATCAACACCATCTCTGTGATATACTACTATAGTAAGTGGCCAATATTCCAAGCAAAGCTTAAGTTAGCCAATGCAGATCCTGTTAGATAGAAATATGTTTTTAGCGTTTCTCATTGGTTGAACTGCAGTAAAAGAGCTTACCATATCTTGATTGAACCGCAGTAACAAGAGCTCACCATATCTTGTTGAATTAAATCCGTAACAAAGCCAAACATGCAATTGACCTTTTTGTTTCGGATTACAGAAAGAAACAAACAAAAGAATGATAAATCATGACTCATGGCCTGTCATTAAACAATCTATCCAATCCAACTATATACATAAACTCTAAGCAATATACATATGTGGTTTTGACAGAAACTGAACTACAGAGTTTAAAGTGCAAGCACATTAATTTTCACCAGCCTTAAAACATCATAACGCAGATGCCAATGTCTGATTGTTATCTCATTCAAACTCGAAGGCAGTGATTAAGTGCTGTTGGGCCAGGAAGCTGATGACTGTTTTGCACCGGCAATCGAACATATGGTTGATGAAACTGAAGCCGCTTCTGGCGTCGAGCCTCCTCCTGGTGGTGGTGGTGGTGTACTAGTGGTTGCTGCTGCTGCTGTCCTTTGGAGAAAAGGTGCTGCTTAGTAACCCAATCAAGCCTTCCAAAAGGATTTTTCTGAGAATAATTCGTGTCCTCAATCTTGCTATAATCAACACCATGAATTTGGGACATCATCTTCAAGTTATTAACAATGAAAGGATGATTCAATAACTTCAGGGCAGACCATCTATACTTCGGATCTCGATCAAAACACCTCATCAAGAAATCCACCCCATCCATATTGGAAAGTCTTCCTGGCACAAAAATACATCCATGTAATATCTGATGAACCAAATCATCATTGTCCCTGTAATTATAGGCGCGTTGTCCAGTGATCATCTCAATTACTATGCATCCAAAGGACCAGATGTCCGTGCCAGTCCCGTGCACTCCAGAAGACACCGATTCCGGTGATGCATAAGGCAGAGTAGTCTTGGTATAAGTCTTTGTGCCGCCGGAATCTGTCTCCACGAGTTGTTCCTCCTCTGATAACCTTCTCGCAGATCCAAAGTCGGCTAGTTTTAGCATGTTGATGTGTCTCCCGCCGCACAACGTCGGAAAAATCAGAACGTTTTCCGGTTTTAGGTCGCAGTGAACAATTCCTTTGGAGTGAATTCCGGCGAGGGCTTTTAACAGCATACTTGAGTACAGAGCAACGAGGGGTTCCGGCAAGGTTTTGCCGCCAGAATAGGTATTGCAAATCAGGTCATGAAGACTCCCTCCCGGAGCATAATCGAGAAGAAGATTGTAAATCTTACGACCGTTTTCGATGCTAAAGTCTTCACCGTAGCATTGAACGACGTTAGGGGTTCCGATTAATTGACCTAAGATTCGAGCTTCTTCCCTCAATGAAGCAACGGCGAATTGAGCAGAGCAATCAATCGATTTCACGGCTACAAACCTCTTGGAAGAAGAAGAAGACGACTTATTGGTGGCCAAGAAAACCAACCCGAAAGAACCTTGACCCAATTTCTTAATTTTCTGCCAACTCTCCATTGTCGTCTGAGAATCAGATAGAAAATCAGTCTCCAACGTTGTTGTATAAAGGAGAGAGAGTATCTCTGTTTTAGTTCTGCTCTCTCTATTTATTTTTAAGGTTGTCGCTTTTCCAATTCCTACTCGGGTTAATTTCCTTATTACCAAATTACGATTCTAATTTCAAGTGAAATCTCGTTGAACGCCGCGTCGCCGCGGCAAGTCATCTACGAGTAGTAATTATATTTGGTATATTCCGTTTTTTTATCACATGTTTTAAATTATTATTATTTCCCAAAAAGAAATTAAATTAATTTCTAAAATGTATTGTCGCGCAAGGTTTGTTTTTAGCATGCCAAAAATCGCGTATTTAATCACAAACTAGATGCTTGGCCCGACCGGATGCCCGGGCGATCTCTTAAAATTTATATTTATAATTTTCATATATTGATAGAAGTATGTATATATGTGAGATAAAATAAGATTATTTCAAACGTGAAAGACAAAGTGTTGCAGTCAGCCAGCATTGACAGGCTTTCCCGATTCCATTCTTTCGAGAGCAGCAACAGCCATGCCATGGCCACCCAATGCAATAGCTACCTCACTGATGCCCATCATGATGTTAGCCATTCCTCTGGTAGGCATCATTCTGGACCAAAAGACAGTCATCTATTCCTGCAATTCTGCTTTGGGTATATGGGTTTCCCTATATTCTTTCAGCTTAGCCTCGAGATCCTTATACATTGCCTAGGCAGTGGCTAGCTCTTCCTCCTTGGCTGCCCGAATTAACTGCTCCTTCTTCCTTGCTTCCTCGTAAATAACTTTCTCAAGCTCGAGGAACCCCTTCTCAAGCTCCAAACTGGAGATCTCCTCCCTTAGCTTCTTTTTGCGCATGAGGATACTCGCCAAGGAGGTGGTTAGCTATCAAGATTGCAAGCAAGAGGTCAGCATAAATCGAATACCAGTTACAAGCAATGAATGTGAAAAGCATGTGTGTTTGCAACATTTACCATCTTTAAGGCTTCCTCATCAGTCATTGTTTCAGCCACTTCTTCTATTATGGGGCATTCAATTCTATCATCGCCAAAGTGAAATATGGCAGCGGCTGCAGTATATGATGACGACCCAGGAGAGGCGTCCGGATTCTCAGCAGTGTCCTTCCTTCGAGATAGCGAAGGCGCAACCATTGTGAACCAACTTAGGTCTCGCTCTGTTTTCGGATTCCCACCTTTTCTGGGGGACGTTGCCCCCGATAGTCTTATCCCCCTCGATAGGAGCACCCTCCTCGATGGGCTTGTTTTCCTCGACGGGCTTATCTTCCTCGATTGGGTTAATTTCCTCGGCTGGTCCTTCCATCTCGACTGCAGGAGTCTGCTTCTTCTTGTTTGACTTGGCGCTTGCTTGTGACACTTTCGCTAGCCTCCTCAGCTTCCTCTTCTTGCTGACTTTGTTTGAAGATCCTTCATCATCTGAATTTTTAATGTCGAAAATCTTGGAGTCACCAAACAAGCCAACGGTGTTCTTGCTCGATGACATACACAAGAGAAGTTAGTACCTTTTTTATTCTTTACGGGAATTGGGGGAATGTACTGCTGCACTTTTGCCCAATTGAGATAATTTTTGAAAGATTCCATAGCAGTAATGTCATCCCCATATTGCCCATCTCTTGGCCTTGTCAGATTTAGACCAGAGATCAGCTATAACGCCCATCTCCTGGGATTCACGCTGATCCCAGGTCATGCGAAAATCCTCTGGAGCCTGTACAAACAAATAATTTGGTTTCCACACTTGAGAACCATCGAAGAGTTCTATTATCTACTTCGCACCCGACTTGGGATTTATCTTGACGTTATACCAGTCCTTGTATTTCGTCGAGGGGACACAGACTTTGAAGAAATACCTCCACACGAGTAATCGAGGTTCAACCTTCTTCAACTCGCAGAGCCTCACAAATCCGAGGACTGCCGATATCAAGTTCGGTGTAAATCGAGCAAGGGGAATCTGGTAGTATTGAACTATATTTCCAAACAGAAGGTAAAGGGGGAATCTTAGCCCTAAGAACATAAACCTATCATATACAGTTATTGTCCCCTCTGGAGGAGTAGTAGCCCTTTCTGTGCCTAAAGGTGCTCGATATTCTAGATCTACTGGGAAATCGTATTTTTCAACTGTTGCCTAGGCTTTATCGGTAGAGTTTATGGTGGATGCGAAGTTGGAAACTGTTCGGGCAGCCATATCTACCACAATATATGCAGATATAACAAAATTCAGGCAAAAGAAAGGCAGGTTCTAAAAGTACAAGAGAGTAGGAGGACTTCTATCAGAATTTGGGGGTGTCCTTCTGGATTCTGTTTACCCAATGCGGCGAATTTCGGCGAATCTCTTCTGGTAACAGTAGTTACAGGAATCTCCGGCGGTCATGAAGGGTTTCGTCTAAAGCAGCAGTGGATGATACGCAGGGGCAGAAGGCTTTGTACTTTCAGAACTGGAATTTGAAAAGAAATGAATGGTAAGAGTCTTTGGACTTTTCCTAGTATAAGAACAAAATTAAAAAATTCTCTCTCCCACGTCTCGACAGTTGAGACGGAGTTCAGGGAGGGGTAATGATGACGGAGCCGTCGTTTGGGGAAACGTGCCCACTTACTACGTGCGGTCAAATGTTTGAGCGGGATTCCGGATCGGATCATCTTCTAGGTTGAATCCTGACCCGCGAACTAAACTATCAGGCCTGTTAGATGGGTCATGGGCTAGAGCTTGTTCGATTAACTTGGGCCGAGTCCAGGTTAGAATTATTTTGTGTTAAATTTTGTTTATTTCTTATAACCAATGCTTGACAGGGGCACTTGACGAGTCCAAATCCACCCCTGGATATGGGTCGGCCCAATCACCCCGTCCAAGGTCCAACCGACTATGAAGTCGGTGGTTTAATATTACTAAACCTAGTAATATTTGGATACTTTTAAGGCCTATAAATAGGGATGATTACTCCACAATTGAGGTACGCTGTCTCTGGCACCAATTTACGTACACAGACTATTTTGCAACCCTATTTTCTTACTTAAGCTTCGGAGTGTCTACCCTTGAGAGGCCCCGAGGCTCTGTTTTATAGGAAACCCTAACCGGAGTTCCACCACCAGGCCGGAGGCACAATTCCAGGCATCGTCACAATATATGGAAAATGGCGGGGGATTGTTGGAGTTATTTTCAATATATTGTAGGGACATAATTAATATGTTGTGCCTATTGGGTGTTTTCAATATATTGTGGAGACACAACTAATAGGTTGTGCCTATGAATTCCATATGAAAAGACATTAACGAAAAGTTATATCTTGGACTATAACCAAGGGTTACGTGTAATTCTCAAGAGTTTCCTCTAACTCTATAAATATGGATCATTTGGATGCTTTTAGTGTACAATGAAATCACTAAATATTTAGAATATTTTCAATGACATTTCTTATCCTTGTATCAGGTTGTTGGTTCACTAAAATGCAGAGTGAAATAACATGATCTCCATTTTATCTCATAAGAAATTCGCCTAGACAATTGCACTGTATAGTGGGCGAATTTAGCCTAAAGGAAAGCAAGTTTACTTGTGACTTGGAGACAAAACTTTGTTTTGTCCTAACTATAAATTCTTCCTCTTGTTCTTTGATCTAGTGCAGCCATTGTTGTCCACTATTTTTGAAATAGATTTCCAACAGTTGCCCCCAACAACGAATCCACCGCCTAATGATGGATATGGTGCTTCGAAGAAGCCCATTGTCAAATTACCTGTAGCGAATCCCAATCATTGGATTCATAGTAGTGTACATTTTATTGTGAGTGTGTTATTGTAGTAATCTTTATCCTACGTCTAGTTTTACATTTTAGGCTTTTAGCTTTAAACTTATAGCAGGGTGTGGACTAATTATATGTATCCTTCCTACCGATATGGTCATTTGATTCACAATCCTTGGCGCACCCTCACATTGGGCCTACTCATAGAATTCATCACTTAGCTTTCATCAGGATCATCTCGTACTACCATTTTTCTCAATGTTTCTTACTTGAACAAACAATGGACCTTAAATTGGTGCCAAATGACCTCTGGTTTTACAATTCAAGTTCATGAAAATTTATCTTGCTCATCAAAAAGTCCTCTACTCTGTTTTAATTATTCTTCAAAAATTCATACAGAGCTTGACTGAAAACAGTAAAGCCATTAGCCCATTGCAGAGAGTGCGAAAACCAATTTCATCAGTGGAATCCTGTCCTGATGATATATTCACACAATAAAATTCAAAAATCATAGAAACTGCAGTAGCGCGCACAGAATGACAGATTTATAAATGCAAATGAAACAGGACTGCTACATCGATTTAAAATTACTCCTGATATCTTTCTGAATGATATGATTTCAGTTCATTTATGAGGGCATCAAAATCAGTATAGGATGATCCACCTTCTTCAACAGCCTTCCTTGCCATATCTTTCAATGCCTTTGACCTCCCTCTGATTTTGTCAGCTTCTTCACCCACCATAACAAGTTCCACAGCCTTAGCCAAAGCTTCTCCTTTCACGTCTTTGGCAACTCTGCTCCACTCTTTCGAACCAACAGCCACTCCGACTTTCAGAACATCAACCAACAGCTTTTCATTCACAAATTGCTCCGCAAACATAGGCCAAGTCACCAATGGCACCCCAGAACACACTCCTTCCAGCGTCGAATTCCATCCGCAATGAGTTACAAATGCTCCCGTGGCTTCGTGTTCAAGAATCACAAGTTGGGGTGCCCATCCTTTTATAATCAGTCCCTTTCCTTGGATTTGTTCTTCAAATCCTTTTGGAAACCATTTTTCAATGTCTTCTTCATCCACGCAGTTCCTAACAACAAAAATGAAATCTTGGCCAGAAGACTCAAGTCCCTTTGCGATTTCCTGTAATTGTGCCAGAGTAAAATTCGCCCGGCTTCCAAAACACAAGTACACCACCGAATTGGGCTTCTTGGAATCTAACCATTTCAGACACTCGTGTTCATCGATGTCGGATTTCTTCCCTCTTCGAATTTTATCTTCAACTCCCTCGTTGCAAAGCAAGAAGGGTCCCACGTGCCACGCTTTTCTCCCCAATATCTTGGTGTAATACTCAACATACTCTGGCTCCAGCTCGTAGAAACTGTTGACAACTCTTCCATAACTTTTCGAATCCGAATCTCTAACTCGTTGATGGAACCTTCCAAGCTCTGTTCCGGCCGCTTCTTTGTCCCTTTCATAAGAGGGTATTTTCGATCTAGTCAACTTAATTTCGTGAGGAAGATCTGGAACCAGAAAAGGTTCGGAATCAGAGGAAACATTATCAAAAGGCCTATGAACTCTCAGGATTTCAGCCACGGTATTTGAGAAGGAACTCATTCCATCAAAAACCAATCTTGGGATGCGGAATTTGGCAGCGGCTTCAGTGGCCCAGGGGAAGAACTTGTCAGCGATCAGGCAATGCGGGCGGCATTCTAGTAATAGCTGTTCAAGCTGATCTTGGAGCATGGCGGTGGCCCTTATGAAAGCAGGGATCAGATTTTCTGATTTTAGTTGGTCAACGCTTTCCGTTCCCTCCGGCAAGCCGGCTTCCACGGCCGGGAAATGTATTGCCCGGATGGATACATCAGTAAACAATTGTTTGCCTTTCTTCTGGATAGATTTCTCAAACATGGGGACGTGTTGGTGAGTTGTGATCATGGTGGATTTCACCCCACGACAACTGAAAACTTTGGCCATGTCTAAGGTGGGCAGCATATGGCCATGGGCGAAGAAGGGGAAGAAGAATATGTGCAATTTCTGATCCATATATCCCCCCAAACTGTGGGTTTTTTTATGATTTGCGATGTGTTTTTGCAGATTTTGAAAGTAGTGAACTGATCGATTTGATCTAACTTAAGGTGCGATTAATCGTTAATATAAGTCGTCCAGAGGTAGCACTGGCAAATTACTTTTTTAATTTCTTCGAACTTCTGACATTTTTGTGTCTGTTGGTCAAACGTGGATTAGGTAGTGCTTATTTTTGGCAGAGTTCAGGTTTGGGTTTTATTTTATGTGTATTGCGATCTCCGCTGGAGTAGTATATAAATCCGGTCTTATTGTTGCCCCAACATTTCGGGCAATAACCTACCGAATTGAAACCTCGGTAACTCTTATGTCAAAATCCATGAGAACCGCCGTATAGTTGTCTTGTCTATGAAAAGTACAAACATCAAACCAAGGTTGGAGAGTTAAATTGTTGTCTAACCATCAATTTTTGTTCACTGTTGTCGACGGTGAACACCCTGCAAATATAAAAAAAAAAATGTGTTCCTCATAATTCATATTTTTTTAATATTCTTTCCGTCCCATTTTAATAATATAGTTTGTTAAGTTGAAACACTACATACCAAAATCAGATTATTACTGTATTAGAATAGGACGGAGTATTTTTCTAATGAGGAAGAGAAAATCAATTAGAGGATGTCATGTGCTAATAAGCCAGTCTTAAAAAGACTGCAAGTTTACTTCATACTATATATGAGCCACCGTTCAATTTAACCAGAAGCTAAGTTTCACTTTATCCAGGCCGGGGGAAAAAAAAACCCCGTCTAGTAGGCTCTGTTTCATTTCACCTCTGACCTTTTTTCTACGAATTAAAAGCAATGCTTCATTTCGTCTAAGCAATCATCCCTAAGCTTTCGTCACATAAAAATTCTAACCTCTTAGATAGGACAAAGTTGCAAGAAAGAACGAGACAAACGCTACTCAACTTGTTCATTTTCCAAGTTAATTACATTAATGCTAATAGTTAAACCACATCGAACATCAACTGTTAGACATAACCTGTTCAGTTCAGAAATACGCAGTTGCAATTCCCACAACTTAGCATTACCAGGATAACAGTCATGTATTATGCAGATAAAGAAGTAAAAAATACATAAACATTGTGTTAAAGGAACAACATATTTCCTGGCGAATTCTTCTCCCTAACTTTGTCCACAACGCAGCATTTACCCAGCACAAACCTCTTGGAAGAAGAAGAAGAAGAAGAAGAGTTACTGGAGGCCAAGAAAACCAAACCGAAAGAACCTTGATCCAATTTCTCAATTTTCTCCCAACTGTCGATCGTCGTCTGAGAATCAGATAGAAGATGAAAATCAGTCTCCAACGTTGTTGTATAAAGAGACAGAGTATCTCTGTTTTAATTTTACTCTCTCTATTTACGGTTGTCGCTTTTCCAATTCCAACTTGGGTTAATTTCCTTCTTACCAAATTACGATTCTAATTTCAAGTGGAATTTTGTCGAACGCCGCGGCAAGTCGGCAACGAGTAGTAATTATTTTTGGTATATTTTGTTTTTTTATCACATGTTTTAAATTACTGCAAAAAAAGAAATTAAATAAACTCCTAAAATGTATTGTGACACAAGGTTAGTACGTATTTAGCATGCCAAAAATCACATATTAAATCACAATTAAAACAGTAGATTGCATTTTTTTTAATTATTGTATTTGTTTAAAAGTATTGCTCCAGAAGGTTTGAATCACGGAGCTTTTGGATAATTTTTTTTCCAAGAATTATGAAAATGTGATTTTGTCCTGTTGATCTTCAAAACTATTCAGGAGGGTAACACTAAATAACCCTTTTTTATTTTTCTGGCTAAAAATATATGAGAAAAAATAAAAAATACATTAAACAAAAAAAATATTAACAATGCATAATGTTTGCTTAAAATTTTTATTGCATTATGTTGGTGAGACAAAACAAACTTGTAGTATAGAACTAGGTATGAACATGTATATGAGAACATCAATCATGTCACTTTTCTTTATGGACCATTTAGTTTATCCTTCGTATGATTCTTTTTTTTTTAGTTTTGATTATTAATGTTTGGTTTTAACGAATCGACTAAGTGATCCAAGTGAAGTGATTTCTGGGAAGTTTTTGCGTAATAAATTGAGGTGAGAAAAGCAAAGAAGTGTCGTGATGAAGAAAGGGAAGAACACTTGAGCTGAAACTTTTTTTTTTTGTGAAAGGTTAAAATTATATTAATTTCTCATCACAGATCAACGTTTACATCAGTCCTGTTTCTATACAGTCACTCAGCTCAAAATATCTATCCTGTGCAAATACCTCTCCTCCAGTTTCCTATACTTTTTACAACACACTTTACCCCTCCAAATCATTTCTTGTTTAATCTGATCAACTATTACATTTACAGCCAAACACTGTCCCCCATGGCAAACTATATTATGCAACTTCCACAAGTGATACACTGCGGCAACCAGAACACCAAACAAAACCATTTGCTTACTCTTGCATTGCTTCCAAGTATTCAAGAACCTTGTCTTCCATCTTGAGATGCCATCAGGTACAGTCCTGCATTCCAACCAATTCTTCAAAGACTGCAATACCTTTTGAGAGAATTGGCACTTAAAGAATAAGTGATCTAAGATCTCCTGTTCAACTGCACAAAGGACACACTGCAAAGGTTCACTAATAATTCCCATTTTCAGCATCCTCACTGAAGTTAACAGCCTTCCTCTCATGGTAAGCCACATGATAAAACTATGCTTAGGAACATAATACTTGTTCCATATCAACACAACTTCCCGCATTTTCTTCCTTGGGCTTCTAAACCACTCATATCCAGTTTTTGCAGAATATTTGCCATTGCTGGCTGCTTTCCACTGTCCTCCTACAACCCCATCCTTCATTTTGTCCTTAATAGTCATCAGTTTTCTCCAACACCAACAGGTCCCCTGCCTTGGTTCATAGTCCCAGATACTCTTTCCCTTCAGATAGTATTCGTGACATAATTCGACCCAAAGATTATCTTTTTTGGTAGCTAGATCCCATACTTGCTTCCCTAGCACTGTCTGATTCTAGACCTCAGGTTCTTTAAAAATCAATCCCCCACATTTCTTTGGTCTACATAAGTCATCCCAGGCAACCAAAGCAAATGCCCGACCACTTCCTTTTTTGCCCCATCAGAAATCCCTATACACCCTTACTACCTGAGGGATAATACTTTTAGGCAGCATAAAAACAGAAGTCCAATATGTGTGCATAGCAAGCAATACATAATTAACTAGCACCACTCTTCCTGCATAGGATAAGTGGCGTGTTGTCCAACATTTTAACCCTGCAGTCACTTTATCACCAATACTTGGCAATCAACGTCTTTCCATTTATTTGGGGATACGGGGACCCCTAAATATTTCATCGGAAAGGTCCCATTACTAAATCCTGTAGTCTTCTGAATTTCATCTCTCAATTCCTTGTTAACTCCCCCACAGTAAACATTCAACTTCTTTAAATTGGCCTTTAAACCTGATGTGGCATAAAACTCATCCAAAACCTTCTTTATTCTTTTAACAGTCCCTAGGTGACCTTTGCACAAGATGATTAAGTCATCAGCAAAACAAAGGTTCGTAATCTGCAACCTCTTACACTTGGGATGATAATAGAAACCTCCTAGTGCAACTTCAAACTTAATCATCCTACTCAAATATTCCATACAAAGCACAAACACTAAAGGGGAAACAGGATCCCCTTGTCTAAGTCCCCGTTTACCCTTAAAATAACCTGTTAGACCACCATTCATACACAGAGAGAAACTGCAAGTAGACATGCATTCTTTTATTCAACTGATAAACTTACCAGGGAACTTATACCCTGCAAGCACCTCCTCTACGAACAGCCAGGCAATGGAATCATATGCCTTCTGTAAATCCACCTTCATAAGGCATCTGGGGGACACGTTTTTCCTGTTATACAGCTGCAACATTTCCTGTGTCAACAAAATATTGTGAATAATAAGTCTGTCCTTTATAAAAGCTCCCTGACTTTGATCCACCAGACTCGGCAATATTTTGGACAGCCTATTACTCAAAATCTTGGTAATACACTTGTACAGTGTATTACAACAAGAAATCGGCCTGTATTCTGCTGCTTATTGCGGGGATTCCACTTTAGGAATCAATGATATCACCGTTGAATTCACCTGCTTTAGAAGCTCCCCAGTACAAAAGAATTCCACTATCGCTTCACAGGTACTCTTCCCAACCACCTCCCACGTTTTCTTATAAAATCCACGGTTGAACCCATCAGGACCCGGACTTTTCAAATCATCAATTGAGAACATGGCCATCTTAATTTTTGCCTCAGTAACTTCCTTGATTAGTTGCATATGATCCTCTACTGTCAGAAAGAGGCCCCATATCACATACCTCCTGTCTAACAGGAACTGTACTCACTTCTTTCCCCCAACAACTCCTGAAAGAAACCAAGAAAATGCTCTTCAACATCTTTCCATTCCTCAACCACCATTCCGTTTTCTGCTTTAAAGGACAGAATTCGTTTTCTCTTTTGTTTCTGTTTTATGGCAGCATGGAAATATGCTGTATTAAGGTCTCCTTGCTGCACCCATTTTTCCTTTACCTTCTGCTGCCAGTAAGTGTACGCATGCATACTAAATTCCACATATTTATTTTCTGCTTCCTTTTCCTGTTCTTGGAGTTCCATATTCTGAGGATTATTTTGTAGTTCCTTCTGCAAAGTTTCCAACAACTCTCTCTGTAAGAAAACTTTCTGATCAATATTAGCAAATTTTCTACGATTCAGGTCTTTGAGAAGAGGCTTTAGAAGCTTCTGTTTTTGAACTAACTGAAACTGCTTGCATCCTTTCGTCTCAACATCCCATATCTTCTTAACTATACTCATATATTTTGTATCAGTAGCCCACATGTTGAAAAACCTGAACCATTTCTTCGAGTTACAAACATTGTAGTTCCATCTGATCACCATGGGACAGTGATCAAACAGTCCTTCTGGTAGCACCTTTACCAAACTCTCTTCAAATTTTAACATCCACTCCTTGTTGACCAATACTCTGTCT